TTTTAGGTGATGCGGTGATGAAGTTTGGTGTGAGACACTAATGAGGTTAGCAAAATCTTGATGTGTGCAGCAACTGTACAGCCAAAATCTCATCAATGCAGGGCAAAGGTGCAATTTCATAATGCAAAGGGCCAATCGACCAGCCTACTGCTAGGTCAGGTTTCCCGTGGGAAACCTTACGTTACCTAGCAGGTAAAGAGAACTGGCCAGGAACCAGAGAGTGGCACAGGAACGTTTTTTGAACAGAACGTTTGCATGATGTACTGTGCTGTGATATTTGGTAAATGTGACTGCCACGGCCCTCTGTACGAACAAGCAAGCTTGTTGGGGAGGTGTTAATCATATTGTAGTTTTAAGACATAAACCCTGTTGAAGTGCTAAAAAAAACTGATTTTGATCGATTAGCATTTTTGATACTGCTGACGCACTGGAAAAGTTTGCTGATTTGCAGTAAACCCCCTTTTGGTGTTCTGATGGACCCTTTGCAGGGTCCAACTCCCTTTTTATCAAAGGAACTTTGCATAGAACAAGCTGTTCCTTTGACGACTTCCAGAAAGGCTCATAAATGCCTTTCTGGAAGTCGACATGGGCAAGCGCCTCTGTGTCGGCTCTCTTTGTTGCATTCATGTTGATTACCGTGCTGCTGAAATTTTCTTGACAATGAACTACCAGCTCAGCCAGATGCATACATTAATTGGCTTCAGAGTTCTCATGTGTCGGGAATTTTACTTTTTATATGTTGTGCCTTACCACAATATCAGACTCAAACTACACTCCTTTGTCTTGCAGAAGCTGCTGTGCATAAACACATGGTATCACACCAGCACTAAAAACAAGAAGTCTAAAAAAATTTAGTGTTTTAGCAGGGGTGACAACATGGTTATAACACAGGAACACTGTATCAAAAACCAGTTCTTTGAATGCTAGTAAGAGATATATGTATAGCACCTGAAGCAGTATTATTATACATATACACTATAATGCCGGCACTCAGCCATCTTTACGGGGGCTCAGAAAAGTTGGCAATAAAGCTTACCAAAATATACTGTAAAAATCGGTCCAAACGTAGCCAGCAAACAAACTTCAAATTCAAAGAACCAAGTGTTCTCATATGGCAGAAACTAGCTACTAATGGCCACATTGTTGGCTGGCGTATGTTAGAACATTATTGCTTTGGGAACAAGCACCTTTGTGTGTGAGCAATATATTGTGTATGAGCTAGTTGCGTTTATTTTAACACGACAGCGTCAAAGAGCTCATTTTGCAGCAGTTGCTGTGTTGGTATCGGCGTTGGTGGTTGTGAGCGAAAAATCACCTTAGGCTTGACTGAGAAATCAAGAAAGATGCAAATAAAATAAACTATAAAAAATTCTGCATGTGAGTGGGGTTTGAACCCGGGTCATTTGCGTGGCAAGCAGGTGTTCTGCCACACAGCCACGGGTCTGCTGGTGAATACAGTGAAAATAATTTCCTCTGCTTGTAAATGCAGTGAAAGTAACTTTCATGCTTTAAAGACACTCGCGTCCTGTATATATGCTTCACAATACAAGATGAAATATTGTAGTAATGCGTGGTACAAGCTTACATTGTTATCGGGCATCAGAACAGGTGATTATCATAATGACTTCATGGTGTAAAGCCAGTCACCCGCTACAAAAGGCACACTCGGTCCTGCGCCCATTACCTTAAGGTCCACGTAGTGGGTGTAAAGCAAGTTCAAAAAGATTTCATGTGCTATGTGTTTGAAGTATGCACTAGGGACAGGATATTGCTATCACGTTCAACTCTTAAGGGCAAAGCTTAAGCGTCTCCCAATTTTCGCTGTGGCAGTATACCTGCTACTTATTGCTCATTGTCAAATGATCAAACATTTAAATTGAGTTAAGTATGAATTATATTTGTATAAAGCAACCTTCGGATATTAAATGCCTAATAGTTCCTCATTTCTACACAAATTGAAATATCTACTTCTGGATAGTACATCTGGTAAAAAAGTTTTACATTATCAGGTGTTTCAGGCCCTGCTGACCTTAACTATTTTGAATAAATAAAGAATAAAGAAGAAACTAGAATCTAGAGTGGTTAGTCGCAAATTGGAGCAGTGGGCAGTATTTTCTACCCACTGTAAAAAAAAAAAAATCTGGCTACTGTTATCCGAGAAATCACGTGGGCTGTAAAACAAAACGGGAATAGAGTTGTGCTTGCTGAGGCAACAAAGTGCAACTCTATGCTGCTTGTCAGCCTAGGAGATCAGTTGTGGCAAGATTCCCAACTTGAAGGAATTCATAAAAAATAAAACAGGAAATTTATGGGGTGCTTGAAGCTGAAATTTCATTGAAAACTGTGCACGCGACCAGATTGTTTGTTTCGTTTATTCACTTTGCCTTGGAAATGGAGGAATTGTGGTCCTTCATTTCAAATCATCTAAAGTGGCTAGCTAATGGGACACTGGCTGGCCGAACACCTTTTGTTTACAATGTTTTTCCTCTGTGTGTTACCTTCGAGCACATATTCTCCATGGCAAGCATGGCTGGTTATGTTTCACATACCAGTTGTTGCAGTAGCTTGAGAAAAAAAATGGCATTGTTGCTGTTTGTGTGGGTTCTACTACCACCACAATCTTGTGTTTAGTTGTATGCTCTGTTGAAAAGTTTCAGAACTTCATCAATTGGGTGCTTCAGCAAGCAAACGCGAGACTTTATTTGGATAGTCATACCAGGCTCCGTGTTTCTGTAGTATATTACGTAATGTGGTTCCCAGAATCAAATCATTTAAGTAAAGGGGCTTTTTAGAAGTGGTAGCACACACTGTCTGTGATAGTACCATACTCATGGACAAATTGTTCTTGAAAGTGCAATTCCACAATTAGTGAGTGAACAGCATTGTTCACCATTTGAAGCAGGTGGTCAAACTACTTCTTGTTTGCAGCTGACTTTGCGGGAACGGTATCTGTTGCATTGCCTGTTGCTGCGGGCAAAATTGCTCAAACATGGCTTATACTTTATTGAATGCCTGAACATTATAGCATAGAAGTTGAATGCTTGATATGTCAATTATTGATGCCTTTCTGCGACATCTATGATTGCAACAAAATGGTTCATAACAGTCCCCTTGCTTTTCAGTTTCTTCCCTTAGTTTTCAATATTTTTGCTTATATTCAAACAGAACCAAATATTCAACTACACTAGACTCCCGTTAAGGCATTGAAGGGACCATGGTCATTTGTTGAGTCTTATCGGTTTATCAGAAACTTATCTGCTCATCAGTTCGGCTTATCAGAAGTGCCCCCAAAGAATAAATGTTAGCATGCCAAGTGCATCCAAATATGCTGCTTGAAAACACTGAATGGAGTAAACTTACAAGGGGGGAGGAAAAAAAAAATAAGGAAAAACTTTTATTTGGTCAGCTTGATAAAAACTAAGCCTTCAAGTATTTACTTAAATCTGACGAGCACTCGATTTTGCCACTTCATAATAAATATGCTTATCAATGAATTACTACCACATTTTAACAATAAAACTGTAGCACGACTCTATTTTGGCAATTAGAAAAAGAAAAAGAGCGGGAGACAAGGATAGTTTTCAAATGGAAAATTTATTCTTCTGGCTGTTCGCCTTTTGTGAGCCTGTTTTTTTGGCTTTGATATCACTTTTTGATATGCCTTTATTACATGCTGTTACCTCGACAAAGCCAATATACGCCGAGTTGATTAAGCAAGTTTGCAAGCTTTTCTTCGAGGTTCGAATATTTTTTTGATTTCAGCATGCAGTAACTTTTCCTGATTGACGTGCAGCTGAAGATCTCTGCTTGTCCTACTCACGGTCACAAAGCCTTAAGCACACAAAGAAAGACATGACACAGCTATATTTAGTGCGTAAAATCAACTTCCTTTGTTGTGTACCTATGAAAATGGCACATCACAATTTGCATTCACTGGGAAGAGGTACAACGTGCACAGGCTTTATGAGAAACAATGTAAACTGACCACAATGTCTGCTAAGTTATCATTGTGTGAACTGATCCCTCTGGTGGGAGTGCTAGCACTGCAGTGGTTTCAGTTTCATATGTGATTATAATGCACACACAGTTTTTTTGCTACTGCTTCCCTTTCATTTGGCTTTCTTTAACCCCCTTCCCTTGCATTTTCCCTTTAGCCGAGCCCTTGTGTTCTTCCGTCCTTCATTGAACTCTTGTTGGGGAACTAAAGAACGTGGAGAGAATACAAAAAGACACGATGGCTTTAGGGTCCCTGTATTTAGGCCTGTTAGGTGACTTGCCTTAAACGGATTTTTTCATTGGCGTCGAGTCTGAGAAATTCCTGAACACTTTTTGTTGCTTTCTTTGTTGATAAAGCCAGCTCTTTTTTCACCTACAGGCGAGGGGTGAGGGAGATACAGCTTTATATGCTGACTTGTTGTTCTACTCATCTCGCTTCCTTCATCCAAGTCTCGATTTGCTTTGAATAATTGTGCCAGGAAGTTCCCCCCCCCCCTTTTTAAAATTTTTTTCCCTCTCATTCACCTGAATGCCCCACCAAGACTACATTGTTCATTGTGCAGAATTGCCATCATTATTGGTCACTGCGAGAGTTTGTGTTAACAGGAGAAGCCTGTTACAAGGTTTGGATTAAGAACATTTTTTTTTGTATTGGGCCTATGGGAAACAAAACATACATTCTCGTGTTGTTTGGCGTGAGCAAAAATCAGTCTTAAGAGAGTTCATTCTAACTGGATTTTACTGTATATTGAATACTAGTCAGTCCTTGGATGGTACATGTATTGGATAGCAAAGACTGATCTGCATTTGAAAAAATGAAATGTTCAAGCTCTCTTGGTTTATATGTAGTCATCTAATCGGTCAGCAGCAGCCTTACAAGCAATGATTGTGTTATGACTTTGCCATTCAGGTGTGGTACTAACTGCTTTCTTGCATTTATTATCAATGTGTTCTTGACTCATGCAAATTGGTTGTCATATCTGTAATTTTCGTCTACTTACCAGGCTTTGCTTGAGGCCCATGATATTATAGCAAGAAAGGACTTCCTGCCATCGCTCACAGAAGCTATCTATGAAGCTGAAGAAGATGAAGAGACCATAAAGATAGTCCAGCTTGTGAAAAGCAACGAGCCACTAGTAAGCTCAAAGTACCCTTTTTTTCTAATATTACCTAGAGGAGATGCCAACCACTTCTTCCGGCATCCAAGCTGTTGCATAGTCAGAGGGATGAAAAATTTAATTATTTTATGCTTGTTGTGAAGGCTGTGGGCACACATGCAACAAGGGAGGAGGAGGGGGGGGGGGTGCTAAGGAAAATTTTTCTCAGTCAGGCCACTTTTGATGTGATTTCACATTGAATTACTTCCTTGACATGAGAACTAAGTGTAGGCATTTGAAGGTTGTGTTAGTTTCATATTGCAGTGGTGTATTGATAGAGCCAAAAAGTGATGATTTTCGGCATTAGCCATTGATTAAAGTAGTTTGTAAGCTTGTGTAGGAGCATAGGAGAGATTCTTTTCTATATCCAAAAGTGAGAACATGCACAACATTCAGCCTGTCAGAGGCGGTGGTCTTCGTAGGTGTGCAAAGACTTCTATTAATGGCCAGGGACCAAATACCGTATTTACTCGCATAATTTGCACACTTTCTTTTGCAATTTTGACGCCTTGAAAAAGAGGAACGCAAATTACGCTGGGATTTCACGAATGCATACAAAATATTGGGCCACACTCCTAACGTGCACAGTATATATATTTTAATAAAGAATAAATGAATTGAAGCATAAACGAAGTGTATTTGTTAGTTTGAAAGAATTAGCACGTACTTTAACCAGTCAGATCCGGTCACATGCGGTCTAGCGGGAATCGCTGATCGCAAAGTCTGATTGGGAATAATCGGCGCGGCTGCTGCCACTACCCTTCCGAAGCGCATCGTCCTCGGTTCTATCGAGCGTGTTTGATCGCCCCATTTTCGACTACCCCATTTTCTTGAAACTCTTTCGATAATGCTGGGAAAAACGGCGATACCGGAAGAACTAAGCATCTGCACATAATTGTGTAATTTCAAAATAATTGAAAAGGCCTCCTTCAGTGGCAGGAAACTTGCAATAACGAGCGCGCACTCTTCTGCTTTCTAGTGTACCGATCGCGCCAGTTGTCACATTGAAGTACATTGCCTTGAAGTGCTTTGTGGCGGCGGCACGCTTCTCGTTTTGTTCGACGAAATATACAACAAGCTTCAATTTTGCTGCTTATATAATCACTGTAGCACATTGCAAGGTAACAGTCAAAACGCGTCGGCTGGATGGCCAAACCTAAACTTCCGAAATCGTCCAGGCATGTGTTGGACGCAGAGAACGAGGGGAACAGTTTCTGCGACAGGCCCTCGCTTGCCTCCAATGCAGAAAGTCGTCCGTGCCGCGACACTTGCCATTATCGCGGTGGTATAAGTTGGGCAAACGCCCGATTATTTTCGGCGACCCGTCAACAGGTTTGTGTTCGGGTGCGGTATTCTAAGGGCCCTAGCTCAGGGGAAGTCCTTGGAAGAAAGGACGTCGCACTCGCAGCCTGTTTGACTGCGCTCGTCTGCTCGGCGAAGCGCGCACCCGGCCGAAGCATCGAAACGTCAAAAGGGTCAGGGAGCGCGAAATGTGCGAGTAAATTTTTTTTTTTTGCGAAAATCTGACAAAATAGTGGGGGTGCACAAATTATGCATGTGAATACGGTAATCACTGCAATGCGGTAATCAACACGGTAAACATTTCTTGGAATGTAGCTGCAGGGGTGCATGGCTGCCGTTGTCATCAAAAACCTGCATGGCCATAAATGCGCACATTCAGCAACGATGAGGCAGGTCTGACTGACTGACTGACCTGGGGCAGACTTGGCAACTCCACTTACTTGATTGGAAACGCAGAAGGGGCTGGGGTGCGGCGCCCTTGCCACCACTGCAGGTGTGCCTATGGTGGGGTAGGCATCGGAAGTGCTAGAATTAAGGTTGGTGACAATGCACTGCATTTCTTTTGTAAAGGTCTACTAGTGAGCCTCTTTCTCCCTTTGTAGTGCAATATATTATATGCAAGCAAAGGGTTTGTTCAATTTTCACTGGTTGCTCACAGCTGTAACATGAATTATATTGCTCTCTTTTATATGCAGGGTGCCACCATTAAGTACAATGAAATTGCTAAAGCAATCACTATTGCAAGAATCATGCATGGAGGAGCTGCTGACAGAAGTGGTGAGAAAAAATATTTGAAAACGTACGATGTCTGCACCCTCATATACATAGGTCGGCAAAAAAAATTGGAACTCATTCTGACTGACTCAAAATAAGTCTAGCTCTGAGGGTTCACTCAGATACAAGATCACCGAAATTTTTCTCAACTGAATTTGTTCAGACTCAGAATCACTGTCCCCCCCCCCCTTTTCTTGGAAGGATCTCGCGTAGACTCAAACTCACTAACATATGTGTCATATTTTTTTTTAAATGTGCCTAGTGAACTTTAATTAAAGTGAAGAAAAACACCTCTTTCCAGTTGTCAAACATTTCAAAAGCTGAAAAGAAAAATTTAGAAAAATAAAGGGACGGAAGGGAAGCAATGTACAAAAATCGTTTTCAAACATAAACATCATGAAACACAACCAAATTCACCAGAAAGCCAGCTCAAATGACAAGAAAAAGCAAAATCAACATAACAGTACTATGATTAGGTGGTAAGATGAGCATGAAAAAGATCCTGAAATTTGCTAAGATTGTGTTCGGTGGCGATGTCAGATGGTAGTGTGTTCTACTTGGTTATTGTGCGTGGCAAAAACAAATGAGGATAATGTGAAGACTGGCAGTTTAAATGTTTTTTGACTTTATATGTGTGATCACTACTGGGGAAGATAGCTAACGGTGACTGAAAGAATTCATCAGGGAGAGAATCATGATGATAAAGTTTATGGAACAGTGATAACCTAGAAATGTTTTGGCAAAGTGCTAATTTTCCCAATTCAGCTTTCTTGTTTAACGAGGTCACACTACTGTAGTGGGAGTAATGAAAGAATGAATCGCCCAACACGGTTCTGCAGGGCTTCCATGTTATCGATGATATATATTTGTTGTTGGTCCCAGATGGCAGATGCGTATTCTAATTTTGTTGAGCAACGTTGTGTGTGCTAGTTTAACATGCAGCGGGGCTTCTTTTAAATTATGTTTCAGGAGTCCAAGGGTGCGTTAGCAGAGGCAAGGGTAATATTAATCTGTTTGATCCATGATAAGTTTGACTGCAGATTGATGCCAAGGTATTTGTATGTGATGGTGAGTTCAAGAGTACTGTTTGTTCATGTAGTTGTTTCTCTTTTTTCCTGTGCGCTTTCCATAATCCGTGTGTAATGAAAGTTGTGTTTATGCTACACTTGTTCATGTGTTCATCCTGCTTGCGCAAATGAAACGTGCCGGACGCAAAGTACACAAAGTGACACAGGGGTTAGAAATATCACAGTTGAACTGATAGACGCTGGTTTTCAAGTTAACACCATATTTTTAGACTTTTCAAAGGCATTTGATCACATTTCACACCAGAAGTCGTTGCTCAAATTTTCCGGACTTAACGTTCACCCTGAAATAATTGCATGGATCATGGATTTTTCTCTCTTTGCAAATTCAGTTTGCATCTGATTTTGACTCATGTTTTGCTGATGTATCGGCTGGAGTTCCTCAGGGCAGTGTGCTTAGACCTTTACTATTTCCAATATATATTAATGATTTATTCATTTCTGTGGCATCACAAATTAGATTATTTGCCGATGATTGTGTGCTTTACCGACGAGTAACACGTCAAACAGATCGTCAATTTTTACACACTGATTTAGAGACCATAAAAACATGGTATTCAGACTGATTAATGCCATTGAACATTTCAAAAACTAAGCTGATGTCTTTTACTAATAATTAGTAAAAGACATCAGCTTAGTTTTTGAAATGTTCAATGGCATTAATCAGTCTGAATACCATGTTTTTATGGTCTCTAAATCAGTGTGTAAAAATTGACGATCTGTTTGACGTGTTACTCGTCGGTAAAGCACACAATCATCGGCAAATAATCTAATTTGTGATGCCACAGAAATGAATAAATCATTAATATATATTGGAAATAGTAAAGGTCTAAGCACACTGCCCTGAGGAACTCCAGCCGATACATCAGCAAAACATGAGTCAAAATCAGATGCAAACTGAATTTGCAAAGAGAGAAAAATCCATGATCCATGCAATTATTTCAGGGTGAACGTTAAGTCCGGAAAATTTGAGCAACGACTTCTGGTGTGAAATGTGATCAAATGCCTTTGAAAAGTCTAAAAATATGGTGTTAACTTGAAAACCAGCGTCTATCAGTTCAACTGTGATATTTCTAACCCCTGTGTCACTTTGTGTACTTTGCGTCCGGCACGTTTCATTTGCGCAAGCAGGATGAACACATGAACAAGTGTAGCATAAACACAACTTTCATTACACACGGATTATGGAAAGCGCACAGGAAAAAAGAGAAACATATGAGACTCGACAAATACCTCAATGTCCAATGGCCAAACTACTAGCGTCCCTCACACCGCGTCCATTAACGTTGGTTTGAACTGGAGGTGGCTTACGCTCACCGTCGAACGCTGTCACAAAGTCGTCGCTTGGTGCGTCTCTCAGCGGCAACGTTGTGAGGCGCTCTCCTGGCAAAGCCCGTTGCTGGCCAGGAGACGCGTGCCGGCAGGCACTTCTGGCACCTCCAGCCTCCTATGGCCCATGAGCAGTTGGCGGGGCGTACAGTCGGCTGCGAGCCCGGGCTCGTTGAAGGTTGAATGGGTCGGCTGTGGCGGCTGCATTTTTGATGGAAGCGAAAATGCTGTAGGCCTGTGTGCCCAGATTTGGGTGCATATTAAAGAACCCCAGGTAGTAGAAATTTTCAGAGCCCTCGACTACGGAGCCTCTCATAATCATATGGTGGTTTTGGGATGTTAAACTTCACATATCAATCGAGAATGCTTGATGAATGTGCTCCACCCTATTCTTATTCTTCTAGCTATTTCACTCTCGTGATTTGGCTGTGCAGTTACTACCAGTGTCTCACTGCCTATCGCAAAGCACTGTTCTCTTCCAATATTGTTGCGCATTACTTTAGTTTATTGCATATTAATTTTCAGACCTACTCTTCTGCTTTCAATGTACAGATCAGTAATCATGAGCTGTAATTCATCTCTTGAGTTACTCATCAATGCCATGTCATCAGCGAATCACAGGTTACTAAGGTTACTAAGATATTCTTCATTAACTCTTATCCTTAACTCTTCCCAATCTAAGGCCCCCAAACCTATAAACATGTGGCGAATTGCATAGGAGAGATCGTGTCTGTCTTGCTTACACGTCCCTTCTTTATTGGGATTCTGTCACTTTTTTTATGGATGACTATGATAGCTGTGGATCCACTGTAGATTTTTTTCAGTATGTTTGTATAGGCTTCGTCGATGTCTTGATTCGACAGTGCCTGAAAGACTGCTAATATATCTGCAGAATCAAATGCCTTCTCGGAATCTATGAAGGTTATGTACAGGGGTTGATTGTATTCTGCGCATTTTTTTACCTGGTTGATAGTATGAATATGGTCCATTGTGGAGTAACTAATATATCTGAAGAATCAAATGCCTCCTCGGAATCTATGAAGGTTTGTACAGGGGTTGGTTGTATTCTGCGTATTTCTCTACCTGGTTGGTAGTTAGTATGAATAAGGTCCATTGTGGAGTAGCCTGTACGAAATCCTGCTTGGTCTTTTGGTAGAGTGAACTCTGTCTTCTTAATTCTGTTAGTTATGTTTGTGAATAGTTTGTAGACGATGGACAGTAACCTGGCCGGCCTGTAATTTTTCAAGTCTTTGACGTCCTCTTTCTTGCCCCGCCACGGTGGTCTAGTGGCTAAGGTAGACGGCTGCTGACCCGCAGGTTGCGGGGTCGAATCCCGGCTGCAGTGGCTGCATTTTCGATGGAGGCAAAAATGCTGTAGGCCTGTGTGCTCAGATTCGAATGCATATTAAAGAACCCTAGGTAGTGAAAATTTCTGGAGCCCTCCACTACGGCGTCTTTTATAGTTATATGGTAGTTTTAGGACGTTAAACCCCAGAAATTATTATTGACGTCCCCTTTCTTATGGTATAATATGATGGCATTCATCCAATATTCTGGTACCCTCCCCACCACAAGACATCTTGTGTAAAGGGTGGCCAGTTTATCTAACACAATCCCACAAGCATATTTCAAAAGGTCTGATGCTACCTTATCCTCACCAGCTGCTTTGTCTCTTCGCATTCCCTCTAGGACTGACTTTACTTCTCCTGTCATTCTTGGTGGGATGTCAGATTCCTCTAGGCTATTACTGCTTCTTAAGATATCATCCTGGTTGTCTTGGCTGTTGTACAAATCGCTGTAGAACTCCTCCACTACCTCAACTATCCTATCTATATTTGGTGTGACTGGGCTTTTCTTGTCCCTTAATGTATACATCTAATTTTTGCCTTATGTTTTATGTCGGCTATCTCACGCCTATTGATTAACTTGAAATCTCCTCCAGCTTCATTTTGTCTGGTGTGTTTGAGGCTTTCATGGTTTCATCTCTATTTTCGAGGTTTTCTGTTTTCTGGGTTATTTTGGTAGCGTTCTAGTATTAATTGTACTCCTGAGTTCTATTGCACACTTGTAAATGATACTAGGTAGTCGGATTATCATTCACAGTGTCAACACTAATGTCCCTTTCCTCTGTTAGAGCCTCAAATTGTTTCTGAAGCGAAACATTGATTGTCTGTACTTTCTCTCTCAGCATTAGCTCATTAACTGGTTTGCGTATCTGTCTTTGCTGTTGTTTCTCGAGTCTAGCTGACTTCGAGCCCTTACCATTCTATGGTCAGTGCATTGGATCTTGCCAACCACTTCCACATCCTGTGAATGCCTGGGTGTGCACACAGAATGAAGTGTATTTCATATGTAGTTTTGTCATTAAGACTCTTCGACATCCACTTGCAGTTAGCCCGTTTTCTGTAGAAGGTATTCAAGATTCACAGGATTATTAAGTTTTGCGAATTCTACTAATAGCTCCCCTCTGTCATTTCTAAAGCTGATGTCGTATTCCCCGCTGCATGGCCTCTAGCCTGTGTCTTGCCTACCTTGGCATTTAGTCGCCCATCTGTACAATATGCTGTGTCTTTACGTTATTAATTGCTG